CGGGGAGCACTTTTGGTCCTACCAGATTTTGTCCTACCCTTAAATCCTCCTAATAAAAATTGTAATTGAATAATCGTATCGTTTTATGTCCTACTGGTAATTTTAATTTAGTAAATTATTTTGTTAAAAGATTTCCAAGAATAAATTTTGTTTTGAGTAGTCAAAATTCTAGGTGCAACTAGAATTCGTCCTACCCAAAAACAAATAAATGGAAATTAAATTTAGAAATTCCTGAGGATTTTATCCTACCCTAAAAATATTACAATAATTCTGGTATGACAGAAAATATTTTTTTTTTTTATTATTATCATCACTGTCATTTTATTTTTCGTCTTTGAATATTTTCGAAATAATTCCTGCGCCAAATATTTAAAAAGAACACACTTTGTATTTAAGCCGAATAAAATGCGTGATATGGTGATGATATGTCCTACCGACACGAATCGGCAACCATTGTCCAAGTTCACGAGCCGCATCAAAGTGGACCCTGCTCCGAGGCTACGTTGCCGAAATTCTCATGACGTTGAGGATCGCGGCGGCCGTGCCGGGACAGCTGACAGCGCAAACACAAGCTGTTGTGCTTAGCGCAGAGTGGCTCGCGACGTGACGTGATTCTCTTAGCATGAAGAAGTGTTTTTCCTATCCTGAAGTAAGTACAGCTCTGTAGTTAGGATTCTAGATCTTTCGGGTGTACCTGGGGCCCATAGTTAGATTACACTCTTGTGTTGTCGGGTCCTGGCGTGACCCGTGTGAGTTTCGTGTGCGGCTTGGGCAGTTTAACCTCACACAGTCGTTAGTGTTCTAGCTTCCTCATTGCATTTAATGGATTGTATTCCAACCATTTTGTAGCAGGTGATAGCTGGAAGTGTGTTTGTCGCTCCATAGTGGATCTCTTCATACCAGTTACCAGGTAAGCCACGGTGTGATGCTTCTGTACTATTTTTACTTAGGCTAATGTTTGTGTGCAAAGTTTAAAATAGGATTGCTTACTTTATGCTTCTTTACCGATCAGGCTTGCAGTCGATACAGGTGCAACACCGTGTATTATGTCGAATTAAATTATGCAGCCAACATCCGCTACCTCTGTAGAAGACATGCATTTCAAAATCAAGGACGAATTTGTTGAGGAAGTGATTGATATTGAAAGCGAGGCCACCATTTGGGGAACGCAAGAGGCCTTAACAAGTGAGACGAGAAATCAGGACATGGTCTTTCTTGAGGAGGTAATACTGACCATCATAGTCATTTGCAAGATTGAAACTGTAGAACCTTTTCCCTTAAAAAAAAGAGAAACAGAATGATGTAAATGCATTTGTAGGCAGAGATGTTTTGCTGACCAATTTCGACCTTTCCAGGGTTTTACTGTCATCAAAGAGGAGGTACCAGAAGGAGCAGTTTCCTTACTGGATTTGTTTCCTGCTTACGCTGCCCCTGCTCATGCTTCCTACGGAAAAAATGTCAACCCAAAGCAGGTATGTGTGTTTTCAAAACAAAGTTTGCATATTTTGTCAAGGACTGAATATGAACATACTTAAGAACTGTACTTATTCTTATGTATGTGTTTCAGCGAGGAATAGAGCCTGTTGGTTTGTTTATGGTGAAGAAACTCTTGCAACTAACCGTACCGAAGAAACATGTGTCTAGTAGGTGGAGTAAACACACTACAGATTCTATCTTGAAGTTTCTTAAAAGCTTTGCTACTGTTGCCCAAGGATGCAGTCGAACCCATAGTGCTGACAAAAGTTTGGCCCTGAGAGGACCGCGCATCCTTAAATGTGAGGAATGCTTTGTTGAGTTTTCTGGTGTGTATGATAAGTACTTGAAACTTTTCAGTCATTATAAGAGAGATCACGGATCAAAGTGTAACGTGCTCATTGGTAGGAGGTGGAATAAACATATGACATCACTTGATCTTATGGTTCAAGCATGGAAAATGGACCTAAAATATGAATCTGTGGGTTTGACTTATTAACTTGGTGGCTGCGCAACCTGGAAGCCAGGGAAATCATGGAAAAGTGAAATGAAATGTATAAGTGAGGATAATGGATCTTTGGTCTGGGACTGAATCTCGCTCAAAATAGTGTTTATTGAGGTTTCAGTGAAATTTTTTGGCTGCTTATGACCAAAAAGTTGAACACAAAGTACCTCAAGTAGTCTGAGAAATTGCACAGAAAAAAAAATGGAAAAGTTGTTGAATTTGAGAACTAAGGTTGCACAGTCACCATGTATCCATTTTTCTTTAAACTTAGGGAAGTATGTAAGTAGTATGTAGGAATTTGCTGTACATAGTGTTTTTTACATGATTTGTTTTGATTTGTGAAGTTTGTGCCACACATGAATTGTCTTATGTTAACTTTTCCAACATGCATGGTTAAACGCGTGCAAAGTGGATTGCAAAGAAAAATTAGGCTGCTGTGCAGCCTTGAAAGCATTTGTAGCAAACGCAAGTACAATTTGTAAATGAAATCTTTGAATTCTGTTACTATTTGTTTGTTCCTTCCTGTCATAGAGTATATTATCTGTTTATTTGATTATTTTTTTTCTAATGTATTGTTTGGGAAAGCTATTTAATAGTTGAACCCCGTAATGTAAATATTGTACACACATGTGTATAACTGGTGGACAGGATCACTTATTTTAAATGAGTTTTTAAGTTGTATGTAGATAAATACATATTTGGAATAAAACAGAAAATGCTACAAAATCAATTGACTCTAATTTGAAGGAAACTGTTTCACTGCCATATCAGCTTATACTCACTGTAGACAATAAATAGAATCTCTTACTTCAACATCAATACAGAGTGTAATCAAAATGCTCTGTATTTGCAAAAGCCTTCGCTGAACAAACAATTACAGCTCAACAGTAGCCTATCTATTCTTAGAATCAAGTTTGTTTTTCTCAGACCCAAAAGTTCTTTTTTGCAAAACCGATCAACGTTCCATACAGAGAAGAGCAAGCAATGAAATTTCAGGTTATTTAGTTCTTCAAGCTAAGTCCAATTAAAAGCATACCGAAACAGTAAGTCTTCAAAAGTGATGGTGTTTAAGCAATGTAGGATCAGACATAGGCTAAGGACAGTAAATAAAACATTTGACATACCACATTATACAAGGAAAAGTAAATATAATTTTGAAAAGAGGATAAAAGCTGAGTACACTAAAGAAAATACTGTAACTAAGCAAAGAAGAATAAGAACAAATGCTATGTGTCTTTAAGGAATGACTAGGTGAAAGCTGAGTCAGCTACACAACACATTGACAAAGAAGTGCTACTTGAGAACACTTGAAATTATTACTCAAATTATTACATGTTACATGAACGATTATGTAAACTTTATTGACCACACACCTGAAGGCACAAAGATCAGTACAATGAACGATAAGAAATCATGGCACAAAACAAAATGAGCAAGTCATTTCAAAGTAGAAAAATATTTATTCGATACACAACAAATGAAACGGACAGAGGATTGTAAAAATGCATAATGCATGAAGAGAACTAACAAGTATTAGAAAATGACAGTAATTGGTACAAAAAAATTACTGAGTCCAAAAAAGTTGTAACAATGCAACTTGACACTGAATGCAGTGCAGTCCAGCACAGCCCAGGTACACTGAAGTGATTCAATTAATGTACATTATACAATTAATCATCCTAGGCCTGAACCAATGTAAGTCGAATTATTATTTCCCGTAATAGGGCTTTATCAACTGTATTTACGCACCAATAGTAAAAGGACAATCTTAAGTTCAGACATGAAATTTTCCAAATTTTACTGCAATGAACAAAACATTTGTAGCTATGTTTGGAAAATATTTTAAAGAAATATTTTTTTCAACAACTAATGACTTGGATGGCTGAGGAGATTTAAGGGGTACTCTTAGACGTGACAGACCTTTTCTTGCATGCATTACTATTCTTGTGCCTATTGCTGTTGATACTAATGCTAGCACCACAGTCACAACAGGTATAACGCTGACTAGTAGTTTTATTTCTGGTGCAACAAAGTGTGTCAACTTGCTTTTTAATCTTCCTTTTTCCTGCCTGTTTTGGATGCTCTTGAATGATATGACTCATGAGTGTTTCTTTCTTCACTGGTAACCGGTATGTTTTAAAACACTCGTCCACAGGGCAATTAACACGTCCCTTTCTTGTCTCTGTAGAGGAACCTGATTCAGGATATTGATCAGTGGCAATATATTTATTTAGAAACAGAAACAAAGAAATAGGAGCAGTAGATGTTAGTTAGATTGCTAGGTTTAGATTTTGTGTTGTAAATACATAAAAATAATATTTGACGTATTGCAATGAAGTGATGAAGTGGAATTCTGAATAATAAATTTGATAAACAAAAAAAACGAATAAAAAAGGAACTAGTGAATAGAAATGAACCCTTAAATTTCTTTTTTGAATGTTTGTGAGAAGCATACATTTTTGGTAAGTTAAGCCTGAACTATTTTGAAATTAGTCTTTGAATTACTGCCTCACCTAGCATTCACTAAACAGTCATGATGCCTAAATGGTAAACAAATGTTTGTTTATAAAGTTGACACTGGACAAAACATACCTTGTTGTGTTTTGGCTGACTTGCAGGCCGCTTGCGTAGTTGCAGATATTTCTAACATTGGCGAAACAGAGGTGGGTGGGTAACAGGCTTCTGGCGGAATAATCAGGGAGCGCTGAAAGTGCTCATCTCTAAAGCTGGTCCACATTGCTTTGTCCTGGTGATATGGCAGCAGCTCCTTACGATGGTCTTCAATGAGCTGTGTCACATCAAATTGGACGCCATGATCACTGGGAAAGCATAAAAACAAACAAAGAATTAAGGACAAAAGACACTTTAAAAGTAGCTGACCATAACCCTGCAGAGTCATACTATAAGCCCAAAGAGGTCATTAAAGGCATTTTGTAGGAGGCAAATTACACAGAAAACAAATAAAATGCATTGCCACCAATGCCCATTTATGGCATTGTATTTCTCTTAAAACATAACTTCAATACTACGTTTACTTGCATTAAATCTGAACTAAGTCCTTCCTCATGAGCACATGTTAAAAGAAAACATTAAATACAGACAAAATAAACCATATGCTGCAAGGGGTTAAGGTCCACTTATTTTGGGTATTATGATAATGAAAACATACAGGCAATAACATCGGCTGAGAGAAGCGACAGACCCAAATGGCAGCCAGTCATGGGTCCCAAAATTGCATGCCTCTGCCAGGTTTGGCCCCATGTTCCCTCCGGTGTGGGCAGCATTTGGGGCAAATACAAAGAATTCTCCAGGGTGCAATATTATCTGTGTAACAAAGGAAGCCAAAAGACATTACCATTTTCAAACAAAACATATACTATGTTAAAAACAATACACAGAATGGTAACTGAGCAAACATACCACCTTAAACCTGATACCATGTTTCAAAAGCCACTGTGGGAAAACAATGTCTGATTTGTGATGTAGCTGCTGTATGCAGGTTTGCCCAATCCCACCCATGCCATAAGTTGCCAAAAGGAATGTCAGTCTTGAAATTTCAGATGGAGCAATCAAAATTCTAAAATAAAAATTGGCAAAGAACCAATTTCAGTCAAGGAGAAACATGAAATTAGTAAGGTTGTTAGGAGGTGACATAAGTCTAATAAAATATAGATGCAATTTTTCACTTACATAAGTTTTGGATATCCCATGTGATTATAGTTAATACTCCACAGTGACATATCTTCAATGTGGATAGGAAAAACACTATGGAGCCCCCCCAGATAAACAAATGGAAAAGAAATGCCAGAATAATACTCTGGAAGGTCTGTCAACATATTTAGATGGCACAAATGTGCTAGTGCAAAGTTTGGGGTCACATACAGAAAACTTTTCCTAGACTCCTCAACCCCATTGAAGTAGAGGGAGCAATTTTCCCCATCCCCATCTGACGTCAAATTCTTTGGCTCTAGAGCATTGAAAACAGATTTGCCGTTGTTGGTATAAAGGTCTGCATCAGGAACAGATAAAGATGCTGAATCTTGAACCAAGTATTTTCTGTCCTTCATGTTCCTTTCAATATGCATACAGGTCAATGATGGATTATGATCAATGATAGTTGACTGGCGCTCCCGATAATTAGTTTTGTTTGACCTTTTACTTTTAGTTGTAATGGAATCATCAGATTTCACTATTGCTTTCGAGAAAAGACAATCATAAAAGTGGATCAAGGCTGCCTTAGGTCCTCCTTCATCAAGTGCTAGCATGCTGAAAGAAAAAAATAAGCCACAAAAAATTAATATTGTGAAGGTATATCTCCAAATATATGATATTACAGAAAAAGTGATCACTCCAGTATTTTTCAGCAGCTTAATTGTAAGTCATCATTGAAAAGATACTATTTAAGAAACTACATAATCTCTGAATTATTACCAGCAGTTTTTGCGGGTCGAGTCAAAGGTTTGTGGATCTTTTGCAGCGCGTTTAAATTCCACATTATCACGGGCCGGCACCTTCCTGCTCTCAAATCTCATAACTCCAGTTGACTCACTATCACATGTTACATAAAGACTGGATAAGAACTGAGATATATCCCTGAATTGTACCCAGAACTCTTCCAAAGTGGTACCTGTCCCATGCAGAGATTCAGGAAGCCGTATCTGCGGAAGTAAAATTGAAACTTTCAAGAATGCTACTTCAAATGAATAATTTCAGCAACGGAACCACAAAATATGACAGGTCAATGGAATGGAAATAAACAAGAACTATAACAAAACTGATGTGGGTGTCCTAACCTTAAAACCCCCATCAAACTTTGCATTTGGGTTTTTAAACATTATTTCATCGCACAGGTTATGGAGTCTGAAGAGCGCCGTTTCATCTAATATTTCTTCATGAATCTCAAACATGTCCTCGGTGAGTTCTTGATACATGTTCACTGTAAACGGCGACATGATATGGTCTGATCCACAGATCCACGATCTTGCGTACTGGCGATATGCAATGTTGGAATGTCACATTGGATTAAAAAAAATAAAAGTGCGACTGCTTTTCTAGGTTCGTAGAGAGAGTCTCTGTCTCTGTTTCTAGGTTCGTAGCTTTTCAATAAAAGTTTAGTCAACTTTGTTGTTTACTTCTTCAAGGCTCAGAGTAACCTTATGAGGGGAGTTTCCGCTCCGACCCGATATTCCTTTCCTGGACCAGTGCAGTGCATTGTGGGTGTACGTAGTTCCAAAAAGCACCGATAGGCCGATAGAACGCACGGCGGCGGGACTACGACCCGAACCCGAGACCTCCGCCTCCGCTCCGAGACGTCAGACGACCAACCAACCCCACTGCACATCTTGTTTATTTCCATCTGCTCATTTTCAGTACAATGTCGAGTACCTGCAAGCGCCAGAAACTTGGGTAGGTCACAAGCAGCATTTTCAAATGTTGCTTTTAATATATTCCAGAAGCCTTTTGATGCTAGGCGTCTTTCCAGGCGAACTCTTTCGATGAGATGTTCGGGAAGCGAGTTGATGTATCCAGATTAGGTTAGGTTCAACTTTACATTAGGGAATACGCTCTGGAATGTAAACCGCAGCATACTTTTTCACTTTGAAGCAGTCAAAACTCCTCTGAATGTTGATAAATGGTACATAAATGAGTGCCACTGCAACACTGAATCCTACCCTCATTGAACTGGACACGAACCTCTTTGGGGAGAGTTAATCTTCTAAACACAAAAATAGTTACTCAAATTGCACCGTTCTTTTTTTACAGCACTGCTTCGACAAGGAGCGATGTTTGTGTCCTCACGACAGCTCCATCGCCGCATCAATTAAGGCACCTGTGGAATTACGACAACTCATGTGCTAATAAATATATGGGCATGCCTTTGAGGCAATGTTCTTCAACAGAGCCAACAGATAAGCCAGGTAAGAATCTTTTCTGATGTGAATATATACATTATACCAACATTTGTGTAAACTTTTTTTTTACCCAACTATTTACTGTTGCAGGTGCATCTCGTTTATCAGAGGATATGATGATGTTACTTGAAAATCAGATAGATGACATGTGGCGTGGGCTACAATCCATACTGGAAATATTTCATGATGATTCGAAACCTCACCTTGGGTATCGCCTCAGAGTGAAAGAACAACTGCCCATTAGAATGACTATGAGACCTGCAGATCAGATTGTAATTGGATGGAAAGCGGTTTATCCAACCCACTGTCCCTCATTGCATCTGTACCTGCGTAGTGATATGAGGGACAACCACCAGTATTTGGGAGGCCCTGTGTCTTACTGTAATTGGGCCCCGGCCAAAAATGCAACCCTCGTAGTTAGGCAGGTTTCACACGGCTCTACCAGAAACCTTGTGAGAGGTGAAACCAAAATGTTGACTGCAGGAAGCGAGCTACTTTGGGACTATGGCAAAACATACATGCCTGTGTTTGATGACAGCTGGTTTCAGCAAGAGGTATGAATCCTGCTTTTGAAGTTTATAAATTGTTATGTTTGATACAACTTTTAAAGATATTTAATTATTCCAGTGCTGTAGCATCAAAGGCAGTATTCCGAAACAAATCCCATGGGTGAAGGAAAGCCATGAAATTTGTCGGGAGCTTTGTGTTTTGTGTGGTAAACCTTACCGCTGCGAACGGAGGAATTGGACAAAGCGCAAGCCACAGAAGAAAGTCCATTTCTTAAATAGTCACAGTGACTTTCTTGGTACTGACTGGGATGGATGTGGTGTCTACGACTCCTCACAGTCCACTGTTGATTATAACCGTGCGCTCATAGAAGCAGAAAGGCTGAATCAATTTCTACAAAGGCTTCATTCTGATGGGTGGAAGGTTGTACCAGCATGTTCTGTAATGAAAAAGCAGTAAGTATGTTCTTGAGTTGTGTTCTATGTTATAGAGGTAATGAGTGGTTGTGTTAAACATATCACGGATGCTAAACCAGTTATTTTTTCTAGGGAGCTGGAGACTCTCAATGAAGAGATAGTAATGAAGTTGTTTAAGAAACGGTGTGCTTTCTTGAATAGATTAGGATCAATAGTTGTACGAGGTAGTCAAGTTGCATCTGCTGTGGAACATTTAAAGCCCATTAAGCCCTCTTCATGGAATGAAATTTTTCCCAAAGTTTCAAAAGGACAGAAACCAAAAGAAAGGGTATATGCACTGTCTAAGGAAGTGATGGAGGCCATGAAGCGTGAATTTGAGGAAGGTGTCACGCAAGATATTATGCTTGTCATGCCACGGTGTGATGACGACAGCGATTCATCAGAAGACAGTGATGAAGACAGTGATTCTGAAGATTCATGTATTGTTAAACAGCGCTGACAGCCCTAATGTTGCAAGTGACGTTTACAATTTATACAGACATTGGCTGAACTAATCTAATATAGATTAGTTAAATAGTTTGTTTTTAGACTTATTGTAATGCACTGATAATTTTTTTTTAGTACTACCTTATATTTCAAATAGTTATAGCTGTATTGATTTCTGGGTGCAAATGGTCACGAGTAAATGAATCTGTGATATTTGTTATAAATCACCTGATATACTGTACTGATACATGTGCCATTTTTATGTAAGTTAAATTTGAACTTGGAGTCTGATATCTTGTAGCAATTGCTGCTGTGACATCATAATTAATACTTCAAACTTGTGATTCTGTGTTCTTGGTATAATTCTTTCAATTTTTGCTGTTTGCTAATACATTTGACGGAATAAGTACTCTAAATCTATAAATTTATTTTAAGAATTACATTTTAAATAGCATACTTGAACAGTTTTGAGAAGTAGAAGTGAACAATTTCATGGCAAACTAAATGCCGGGTACAAGGATTGCAGTTGCACTCCTACAACTTTGGTTGTGTTTACGATAATTTAAACACCGTAAGTTATTGGGTTATAATATTTGTTTGGTGAAGTGTGTAGTTAATAACAATTAGCTCATAGAATTGAATGTCTTTTTAAGAAGGAAGTTTCAATAGTAATTAGTATTCTGTATTATCTGACCAGTTGTAATAGAGTCTTGCTGTCTGGCTCCAGGTTTTGCTTTTTAAGTTTGTATATTGTCCCAGTGCCTTGACAGAAGTAGACTGTTGTGCATATACAACAGCCTTTTGTGTGTTATCAAATCGTTTTGTTTTTCATTGATCTTTGTGGCGAACATTTCTGTTTACTAATATTTTTAATTACGAGCTCATTGAATTGAATGTCTTTTCCAGAGGAAGTTTTGATAGTAAGAATTTGTGTGGTTCTTCAATATTTTCATTAAAGATTACTCAATGACAGTTGACTTTTGCTACTTATTCTTTAATGTGGCAAAACTCACAATTATTACAGACACTACACACAATTCCCTTCTAAAGTTCCAGCATCAAGTTGTGCTTCGGCAACAAGTGTACTTCACTACTAATTTGTGAGAAACTAAAATTTGATAGAAAATTTGTCCCTCAGTTGTGGGATTAGGTGCTCAACTTTCCCAGGAATCTAAGTTGTCCACATGGGTTGCTGGGAGCCCTTCGATATCGTTTCGACACGTAATTTCTCACTGGGTAACAGTTCTTACTTTTGTTTTGTTTGCAAAACGTTTCCCTACCATTACATATGTATTTTGATGAATGTCCAGTTGGAAATTAGTTTTCCACATGGAGTATTGATTTGCCACAGTGGAAAATATAACTTTCCATCTGGATTCTACAACCCCATCACAGAAACTCAGAGACCCATTCCAGGAGAACGGAAGGAGAAACAAAAAGAAAAAAAAATGCTCCACAGCGCCTGTGAAGTGAATGGTAGGCAACCCCGCCATGCTTGGGTGCTAGCCAGGACGGTCTACCCGACAGGCGCTCCTCCTTGGACACGGCAAGATATGTCACGGATAAGGAGGCTATCAAGAATGATCCCTACGGTCGGGTGTGCCTGCGCCTTGCTTGACCTCAACTCGAAGGAGCGCGGCCGACGATGACGCCCTGCTCTGCCGTGCCCGCGCTTTCGCTTGTCCTCGACAGCGCGTGGCCCTGCTCCGCAGGCGCTCCAGGGGCTCAAGATGACGGTGGCCCTCGCCGCGCAGGTGCAGCCGCCCTGGCCCCCTGGCCCAAGGCCTCGACCGGACCGGTCGCTATGGCTGCGCGCGGTGCGGCCGAGCTGGAGAACGTGGAGGAATCGGTCGAGGTGCAGAGCATCATCACTCGTGCACCACCTTTAAAGCACTGTGCCCCCTCCTCCTAAGAGGAATGCGTCTGCGTGGCGGGCGCACGCATGGTGCCGCGCGAACGTACCTTATGGACTCTTCTTAGGGAAGATCCAGAAATTTCGCCCGTCATTATTCGCCGTTACGAACCTGCCAAGTTGAGCCAGTGAATGCTCTCGTAGTGCCCGATAGGTAGGCAACATCTTTTTTGCAGTGCTTACGTGTTATGCGGGCTGGCCTACCCCGAGCTTCGCAGGCGCCAAGCTCCCGTCATTGACCGAACACATTTTGAGAAAATCGGACATACTTTCTGCACTGGAAAAGCAAACTGTGGGACGACAGCAGGTGCACGCGCGCGTCAGCGCGAGGAGGGGGAGTGCGCCATCCACTGTACTTGCTTGCGGCGGGCCGGGACGGGGTCGTGCTGGCCGTCGCTGTAGAACAGCGATTGGCAGAGGAGTGTTGTACACCCCCGCCCCGTGCTTGGGTCAGCGACGAATAGGTGCATGGGAAGTCACCTCGGCTGGGTGCGGGACCACGACGGCCAGACCGGGCCGGTTTGGTGGGGAAAGGGGAGGAGAGACGACGGACCCAGCCAAGAGCCTGCAGCGAAGGCCTGCCGACGGTCTTCTTTGGCCTCTGGGAGGGGGGTGGGGGGAAACCAGGGGACCCCACGGCCAGGGCGGGGCGACATTTCGGCGTCGGCGTGGTCCCACCAGCACGTCGAGGTGCAGCACTGCTTTGAGCCCGGCGCGCTGCCCGAGGAGTGGCTGGTGCAGCTGCACTTGCACATGTCCATGACCTATGCTCGCCGCGAGCACTTGCTCCACACGCTGCGCGCACACGCACAGGTCGGCATGCAGCGAGGCATTGCAGACGCCCTCGTCGGCCTCTGGGAGGAAGAGAACATCGGGGACCTCACGGCCGGGGCGGGGCGGGGCGCGACGACGCATCGCGGCCGCGGCGTCGTCGCGGCCGGTAAGACCGGTAAGACGCCGTCAAGCACATCCTCCTGCAGCTGGCGTGCTCACCATTATGTACATGAGTCATGTCCGCTCATGTACGAAACATATGTGATACATATTTGACCCTTTCTCAGCGGACTGTAATAATTGATTCAAATTTCGGCAACTGGGAATCAGTAAACAGTTTTAGAAATTCTGAATCTATTTTTCATTGTATGGTATATATGTATCGAGGTATCTAGTGTCGCAGTAGTTGGGAGTTCGCATCACCTCCAAACCTAGAGCTTTGGCTTAAGTTGCACAATCGCAACGTCAGGCATGGATGCACTGTTGTGGGTCCAAGCAGTGCTTTTTTTTTTCACCGCCAGTTCTCTTACGATGAGAGTATGTTACGTAATTCCTCTGATTGTTTAAGGATAAGGGCACACTTAATTATTGAAGAAAATTAAAATTGTTGTAATGAACCGATGCCCATGTGTGTGCCTTGATTCCTTTTGGACCGGGAAGAGTCACGCGCACTACAGGGCTATGCAGTGCTTTTCCCTGCAAGTTGCTGGACTACAACTTTCATCTTATACGCTCGATTTTTCTACCCATTCATTGCGTCGAGTAGGCGTGATGCTTCTGAATCCCTTGCAATGTTATGCTCAAAAAATGTTGAAAGGGTTTGGTTATCAAGAATTTGAAGTTTCAATTTATCAGCAATAAACACCCTGAAGCGCCCTTGTGGACAATTGCGTAGGTATCAGATAGTACTGTGTCACAGCTACTCACACTTTGAATGAATATGGCATTATTGGAGATGTTGGAATTGGAAAGAAATCCAAAACGGCGGATAAATCATAGCACATTTGTTTTGACATAAGAACTTTATTAAAAAAGATGTTTCATGCACAAGATCTCAGAAATTGTTGTCATTTATAAAAAAGAATGTTGTTAAAAAAAATTGAAGTTAAAAGAAAATACTAAGCAAATACTTCTTGTAAGAAAGCTTGAGAACAAAATAATATGAAACTAGGCACTTACATTAAATAAAGGTAGCCAATCAGTAATCTGGGCAAAGCATCCAGTTACTGGGCACTTAGAATGCCTGAACATTTTCTCAGCACTCTCCCTGACGTCCCGGACACAAGAAATACAAATCTTCGCATGGCCGCAAGGCTTAAGAGCCACTAGTCCCTTATACAACTGGCAGGCCTTGCAGACTCCCTTTTTCTTGTACCCAAGCATTTGGTCTTCTCCTTCTGGTAGTTGAGGGAGACTCGCAAGAAATTCTTCTCTCTTCTTATCCTCTAAGGATTTTTTCGTGGGCCGACCACCTGCAACAAATATTTAGAATTTTAGACTTTGACTAAATGCTTAACAATTTTAACAATTACAGATGGGCACTCAGGCTTACGTTTCTTTCCAAGTGAAGATGCTTCAGACTTCAACTTCTTCTCTGAAAAGTAAAGGGTGAATTAATTTCTAAACTTTATGATAAAATTACATGAAAAGAAGAGTTTAAATTAGTGACTAGTCCACGACTGAACATCTCATTCTAGCTACCTTATTCTGCTTCATGCAAGTAAAATTTTGAATAAAACCAACCAATACAGTAAATGCTTCATGCAAGAAAGCAAAAAAGTAATAGAAGATAAATGAAATATTCAATGACTGACTTTTTTAAAAAGAGAGAACTTTAAGGGACCCCGTTAGTTTGAGGGAAACTTCACTGATTGAGAAAGTATTCAGAAAAGAAGAAAAACTCCCATATGTTTTTGAAAGGACTTGGTCAAAATCTGAGTAGTTTCCCTAAAACTAGGTAGAGTTTTCCCTCTTTCCTAAAAACAATTAGATATTGTCTTTACTATGATATGAAGGCAGTATGTCCACCTTCCCACAGAGTGTTTCTTTCTCGTAATTTTCCTTATAAGAAAACCTTGATACTGTGTTCAGGAATCAAAATTAAAAACATATACTTACTTGTTTTGGGAGGCTCCATATCAGAGTCGTCCGATGAATCTTCCCATGGCTTGGGTGCTGGTGTAGGCGGTGCTGGTACGAAATTTGGCTGGACATACATCGGTCCCCCTGAAAAAATCAAAAAGGAAGCCACGTTGCAAAAAAGGAAGGTATCAAATTTGACATGCCATAATGGGAACATTCTTGAATGGCAATGATACAGAAGGAGAAATGCCCTTATTTGCCTGCTCTACTAACAAGTTTTAACGATACCACTTCTTTAGTAATAATCACAGGTGGAAATTGGAATGAAATAATATTCTCGCGTTACTGGTTAATGGTGATGAGTGCCCCTTGTACCAGAAGTGTGTCTACAAATACTAATTATGGTTCATAATATTTGCTGTTTTGAAGAGTTAAAGCCACTAGTTTCAAAGAATTAGATGCACACGATATACATTTAATTTCCTAGAAAATGTTGCAACTAAGTCCCAGGTCAGGCAAATATTTCCAGAAAACCTGATGAGTATATAGGAAGCCAAACATGGTATCTTAAGTTGATCATTGCCCCTTCGTCTCCAACAGTAATTAAAATCCAGAGAATAACATCTCATTTCCATTTCCATCCCTAGTAACAAACAACTATGGAATACTACCCACCTTGAGAAGAAGAGGGCTGCGGAGCCCACTGATAGAATACTGCCGGCGCTCCTGGAGGCGTCGGCATCATCATAAGCTGCGCCTGACTTCCCGCCTGAAACAAGCAAAGCATTACCAGGATGATATAAGGTGCCGACATGTTACATTGCAGTTACTCTCTTTCCGCATTAATTTGTTGCATCTATAGAGCTCTTGTAAGATTACGGAGCTTTAACAACATATAGAACTTCACAGGAGCCAAAAAAACTACATATTAAGCTAGCATCCAAAGAAGTTGAAAGCTGCAAGACAATAGTTTGACTTCCAAAATGAATAACTGAATGAATGGAATAAATTAAGGAACACGTGCCATGCATTGGACTGCCAATGAGAATGAATGAGCCGAGGCGTCTCACTCCCTCAATCTTAAGTTTCAGAGTTCTAATGCTGTCTTTTGCACTACAGGTCGCACAGGGACATACCGATTAGTAAACAATGTATATTTTTTGACAGAGTGACACCCACTCAAGAGTTACGGCATACATAACTACCCAACTCTGGTTACGGTTGTGGGTTGTGTAACGTGGGCGGCTCAAGATAACCTCCTACGGAGTCAATTTATTGAAAAGGTAAAGTAGAAGTACAATATAAGGGTACTCACGGCAGCAGAAGGGGCACTATGCCTCTTGGTCGAAGCTTTACTTTTATTGAACATGATTACAGGCTTCACCTTTCTTGAGGAACACGCAACCGCTCGCTGAGGAAGGAGGATGAAGAAGAAAGGTGGTGGGTGGATGGTGGAGCGTTGTCGTAGTTGTAGTTGGAGGCAATCCTCGTGTAGTCCGATGGATCCGTGTCGGAATTAGGTAGCTAAGCTTCAATGTGATCTCACTGGCGACTGGCTGTACATTCAAGTAAAAAATAGATAGACTGACATGTTAAGTAAACTTTCTTACTCATGCCAGAACATACGGCTGTTAACAACTAAGCAGTAAAATACTTTTAGCTGCTTAGTCTGAAAGGCCGGGCCGGGCGATGTCGGAAACGTCAATCTTTTAATTTCATTCAGTTATGAGACATTTTAAAGAGGCAGTAAAATATAATAACGAATCTCTTTTCAAGAATAAATGTTTCACATCTAAGAAACTGTAATTTGTTACAAAACATCGAAATTTAATTGAACCAACAAACAAACATGCGTAGCGGATAGAACACGCTCGTTCAGGATTGGTGCATGAGTTTCCCGCCGCTTGCTCGGGTGTGGGTAGAGGCAGAACTTCAACGTAGTTGATACAGAAATCATTCATATTCAAAGTCAAATTACTGTATTGTAAATTACTGCTTTGCTGTCCATAGGTGATACTTGTCATTCAAAATGCAGTATGAGTGCACATGCTGCCTTTTGGCAGCCTGGTGCCAATGCCCATGTTGCGATGCGGAAAGAACAGGAAGAAACGACGAGGATGAGCCATGCGATTGCTCCTGCTGTACGGAGTCCAAATTGAATCAATGCACTTGCCGATGCTGCATTCAACGGATCAATAAGGTTTGGAACTAGAAGCCCATGTCATAGAGAATTTTAATAATTTATAAATCGTCACATTATGGTCCCATGAGCAATGTAGCTCATGTGAATTTATTTATTTACATTCTGAAGATTTATTAGTCCAATTTTGTCACTTTTTAACTTAAATAAATCAAAACCTCTTGATCATATATTTTTGGACCCAGAAGATAAGTCAATTTGATTAATTTGATTCTGTTTCTTAACACTATTCATCATCATTGGAATCACTTTCTCATGCATGCAGGGAGGCCTACAACAATAAATTTCTATAATTAAGTAGACACCTGTCAAATGTCACATCTCAGAAAAATTACCTTCTGTCTTGTTTTTTTGTTGTTTTTGTTTATTTTAAGGAAACTGTTACGTGTCCTACACATCAGTATGTAATGCAGTGTGGGTGCACCTGTTGCCTTGAGTTTGCCTGGTGCGAGTGTGCATGCTGCATTGCAATTAGAGGAGGAGAAAACATTGTTGAGGATGATTGCAGCTGCAACTGTTGTGAGCAGTTCAGAATGAAGTGCCAGTGCAAATGTTGCACAGAACGAAGAACTCAGGTATGCAGAACTCAATGACTTTAAACAGTCAAGAAAAAGAGATCTGAAAGGTAACGCTTAAACAAAAATATCTTCCTTACAGGTACTGACCCAAGAAGAACCATCCAACGTGAATCACAATGACCCCTGATTCAAGAATCAAAATCAAAATCTACTGATGTTGCAAAACTGTCTTGCTCGATCACGGTGGTTTAGTTGTATCTTTGATTACACAATAATGTAATAGCAATTTAAAGTATGTATGATCAATCTATTTCTTTGAAAGCTAACTGAATATACAGCACACATAAGAGGTTTTTTTTTCATTTCTTTCATCAAGCAAAATAAAGGAAACTATTCACTTACATTCTAAGCAAAACAGTACAAAGTGAATAATAGAAATAGAAACAATTCACTACTGAACCAAAAGAACATTATAAAATCTTTGTTCCCTATTACTTTTTTGCTCATTCATGCACCTTACTTTTCACACAATAACAGATGTGCTAGAAGAAATAAGAAATACTGCCGTACGTCAAAAGTACACAATTGTTACTTAAGTGGTGAATAGAACAATCCTATAATTTTTAAGATGAAAATTACTAATGCGTCTTAGTTTAACACATACAGATGAACAATTCATATTCCAGCTTGTGATCAAGCGCTGAGGACTCAATCGCACTTTAAAAAAGCAACAGATTAGTCAGTAATGAGCAATGATTTAAAGTACAACCTACGATACAACTATGCTGCTTAGACAAAGTAGCTAGTGTCACACAGATTCAAAATCTTTAAACACATTCTGATGCAAGAGCGAAAGAAGATAATCATAGATTGCAGACGTATGATAGCAATTCCAACTTCATATACAGAACTATCACAGTGGAGGAGATCAACCACTTTCATTACAAGTGTTGCACCTGAAATTTTTTATTCTTTCACGCTACCACTCAGCACCGGACAGGATTCTTACAGAAAAATTACAGATACCAACTGGTTCAAGACTCTTTAGAATATTACGAAAAATTGACATGAAGATTTACTCGTTTAATTGAACAGACACAAAAAGAGAAACAAGAACTCTTTGCAAAATGAGGACTGAGGTGTCTGTGGTTTAGGCAAACCAGAATCAGAAGTGTACACAACTTGGAAAAAAATATTATCACCAAACATACAAAAATGACCTTCATACGCCTAGCTGTGGCCTCTACATTAACACATCACTAATACTCTTGCTCCGTTGGAAAGGTTTCCACTTGCTGACTCCAATTGTATTCTGAAAGAAAGCAAAATTGTCATTGTTTTTCAGTTGTAAGGTTTGTGGATAGAAATTCACATACAAAGACATGAAACTTTCCCCCTACTTACTAAGACAGATCAGAAGAGAGTGGTGAGATGCTTCCAGCTAACTTAACCAGCATCAAAAATTACAAAGAGAAAGAAAAATGCTCTCTAGTTGAATTCTAGTTATAGCTCAAGGTAAAAATTTGTTGATCAGTTTAAACTTGATTATTGAAGCCCTAAAAGAAGAAGACATGATGAATAAATGAATGATCCTGAAAGGTAAAATCCTGAACGCCATAAACAAAACGGAAAAATTACCGTAGAGATGGCAATGAAAGCCACCATGGGAACGGCAAAGCCCAGAGAACAGGCTAAACCAGAAAATTTCAACAGCTGGCCACAAAGTACCATAATTTTTACTTTCAAAACCAACAACAATAACTGTGCTTCTTTCATGGCAAAAATTTGAAGTTTCCCAAGTTACATTAGATCCTAAAAGGAAGCAAGGGTCTTGCTGTGATATAGTAAGAAAGTTTGTGATTAAAACTTCAGGAACAGAAGTCTTTCACTACTGTACTTACATAAATGAAAAACAGATAAATTGAACTCTTTTCAAGGGAAATGACCTCCAGCTGGGTTATCACAATCAATTGCTACCTTCAACAATCAACAACTACATGCACTTATTGTTCCAAAAGAGAGTACAATCTGCAGACTCATATTGGATGCTGAAAAAAGCACAAAATTGTGGCTGTAAAATAGGCACAAGCTCTCTCGATGCGAACATTATCAAAAACCAGAAGACACATTATGCTTCTACTTACTTTTAGAGAGGGATAATAGGAAGATGCCTTTGGTTTACTACACTGCCAGATATATAAGATGCAAAACAAAAAGAAACCCGCTTGCTCTTTCACAGAACTCTTAGTTTAGAACAAGGTAAAGATTTGGTGATTGGATCAGATTCCCACCGGATGATTCAGTCACAACTAAAAGAAGGAGATAATGATGAATAAATTAATGACCCTGAAAGTAAAAAATTTGTACTCAATAAACAAAATAGAAAAAATTACCTTAAGAGATGGCAATGAAAGCGATCCTGGGAACGGCAAAGGCAAGAGCACTGGCTTAACCAGAAAATGTCAACAGCTGCCCACAAGGTACCATAAGTTACACTTTCAGAACCAATATCAATAATTCTGCTTCTCTCATGGCAAAAAATAGTAAGTTGAGAAGAAAACTCTTTTCAAGGGAAATGGCGTCCAGCTGGTTATCACAATCAACTGCTACCTTAAACAGTCAACAACCAGAGGCACTTGTTCCAAAAGAGAGTTAGTTTAGTACTAGGTAAATATTTGGTGATTGGATCAGGTTCCCACCAGATCATCAAGTCACTAAAAGAAGATAATTATGAATAAATTAATGAACCTGAAAGTTAAAAACTTGTAGACAGTAAACGAAATACAGAAATTATGTTAGAGACGGCAAATGAAACCAACCTTGGGAACGTAAAAGCCAAGAACAGCCAAAACCAGAAAACGTAGACAGCTGGCCCACAAGGTACCATATGTTTCACTTTCAAAAACAATATCAATAATTCTGCTTCTCTCATGGCAAAAACAAATCAAGCTTCCCAAGTCACGTTAGTTCCTGAAATAAAGCAATAGTGTTGCTGTGATACGGTGAGAAAGTTTGTGGTTAAAATTTCAGGAACATAAATCATTACTACTGTACTTACATAAATGAAAGGCAAATGTGAAGGGAACTCTTTTCAAGGGAAATGGCCTCCAGCTGGTTATCACAATCAATTGATACTTTAACTAATCAACAAACTAGAGGAACTTTGGTTAGAAAGATAATTATGATGGAAATGGAAACAATCCTGGAAACGGCAAATCAATTCTAACCTTGTATACTCTGACAGAACTATCACAGAGACCGAATACTTTCATTGCAAGTGTTGGCTTATATTTTTGAGTCTTTTTCACTAGAAAATGAATTTTAGAAGATGACACTAGAAAACGGGCTTCCTGCTGCCCCAAATTGCACAACTACAACTTTCCGCCTGAAGCATTGCAATTTCTGTTCGCTGCTGCTGGTCGGGTCGCGTCCGCGTCGGGTCTGCACCGCCTGCTGACATTTGTTCTGTGTCGTTCTTTTGTAGTGTGTGTTTGGGTCTGTAGGGCACAGCACAGCAAGCACAGCTTAGGGAAGGCTAGGGTCTTGCTTCTTATTTTTTGTTAGTAGGACCTCCAACCGCTGGGATGTTCTGATCGGGTGATCAGGTTCTTGTTCGCCTAAGATGGATCTTGCGAACTTAGATGATTCTTTTTTCTTAGTGCACGAGGAAAAAATTTGCGACGAGAGGCAGCTTCTTAATCTTGATAATCATTTTGTAGAGGTTATGAGAACAAGTTTAAAAGCGCAGTCGGATGGAGTTTTCAGGGTAAGATTTATTGTGGTGCCCTTGACATGTTTCTTTGACAGTTGGAGGGAAGGGTTTAGTTACACAACGTGTAATCATGTGTGATGTACTGCCATTTTATGTGAATTAATAATCAGTACAGTCGTTGCACCTTAACTATCTGATGTGAATGTGGAATGGTGTTGTTTTGCAGGGTAGGCTGTCATCAGAACTGATGAAGAAAGAATCCAATTGGGATGATTTTTGGGAGAGATTGGATGTTAACAAAAAAAGAGTGACAGTTCAGTTTCTGAAAGCACCTGACAGTCCTAATGATAAATATGTTATGGAGCATGAAACAATTCAGCTTCAAGGGAGCATTCGCTCACCTTTTCTGAAGTCACTAAAAGCTCAAAACCTTGCAAACCCAACATTAACGTGCTGGTAAGTCATTCTTCCTGAGTAGTAGTTGACTAACTTTGTTATGATACTGCAGGTTTCTTATCGCTAACTTTTATACCCTGTCCTGTAGCACAAAAATACTGCGGGAGGAGGGTCCGAAGATGGCAGCAAAACACTTTTACGAAACCCTCATGTCTAAATGTGTTCTGATACCAAAATATTCAAATCCGTCAGAAGATCACAATATCAGTCACAAAAAATCCAAGTTCATTGAAAGGCAGAGTCTTCGTCTGGAGAAGGATCCGTCAATGATTTGTGCCTTAGTAGAAAAAAGTATGTCGAGTAAAGCTTACAAAGTACAGGAA